TTTCCCTAAAGATTTTAATGTGATTATGTACTAAATTAATTCTTTATTACAACTCTAGGACTTTGATGATTTAAGTATTATTAGAAATTTGAAAACTTTATCCAAGTTTTTAATACCTTTTTAAAAGTCTTGAAGTTTCTTTTTGACACTAATTAAAATTCTTGAAGTTAATAATAGGTAATCAAAATCGACAGGATAAGAATTTTACTAAAACAAAATATAAAAATATTTTTTCATATTAAAAAAAGTAAGTATGATATATATTGTTTTTCAATAAAATAAAGTATTTATGTATCAATAATAGAGAATAGTGCAATTTATCATTAAATTCAAATTTAAATATGTCTTTAATTTGTTATATGAGTAAGTTTTAATTTTAATTCTTATAATTTTTTTACTTAATTACTCTTTTGGTTTCTATTATTGTATAAAATTTATGTTTTTTTAATATTTTATTACTTATATTTAAAAATCATTCACTTCAACCCCTATATAATCACTTTTAGTTTTTGTCGTTAAAATAAGCTAACGATCATATGATGGAGACATATAATGTGTTTTACGTTTTTTGTCTTCATATTTATCCTATTTTAACATTTTGATCTTTATATTTATACATCATTTATCTTATAGTCCTTGCATTTAGAAACTATTCGTTTTGGTTCTTATATGAATAATTTTTCATATTTTAGTCTCTATCAACATTATTTTCCTTTAATCTTATTCATCATCCTTCTCTTATTTCATTTCTATTTCCTTGTTTTCTTTATCTTCATCTACACCGCCTCCTTCTTTTATTTTGTAGATTTTGTTTTTTCTTTTAAGTAAACTAATTTTTATTTAACCTTAAATCGAAAAGTGTCGATGTTGGATATATATTCCATGTGCATTTTTAAGTATATGACGATGTAATTAGGGATCGAGCAGCCATTTGTATTGACTCCTTTCAGTGAAGAGAGCTTGTTGTATCATTTTAATATTGTTATATGAATTAAAATAATTGGACATGAAATAATTGAGTATACAATGCATCTAACCATTGCTGCATCGTTTTAATGATTTTAATCTTTTTCAATCAAACACTTAAATATTTTTACCCCTACTACATGAACAAATTTTCTATGCTAGCTTGATATTTTGCCGTCAGTTGACATGTAACTTCATTTACTCCAAGTTTTCTAACACTCTCATGATCGAATCAAGCAGTGTAAAATTACGAAAAACAAAAGTTGACGGTCGATAAATTACTAAAAAATTGAAAATAAAAATATTTGGTAATACATTTTTGCTAAAGATGAATCTCATAGCTAATGCATGGTGTAAGGCATGCTAAGGTCCAGAAAATAATGATAAAGTCAAGTTACAATAATATTGTAAAGTGTGTAAACATAAATTGTTATTCACAAGTTACCTTATCTTGATCAAAATGTACAAATGAAAATCCAAACTCTTTAATTCAGAGTCAATAAAAAATTAATTGTTGTAAGGGGATTTAAATAAAATAAAACTCAAAATAATAATAGCAGGAAGAAAAGTTTGATGAAGAAAAAAAAAAAGGAAACAAAGAGGAGAGAAAAAAAAATAAGAGGAAGAAGAAAGGGATTAGGGACCAAAAAGAAAATTGCTTGTATAGAAAAAAACTAGTTTTCAACCGAACTAAAAAATAAATGTTGTGCATTATAAAGACCAAAAAAAAAGTTTGTATAGGAACTAAAACGTAAAAAGTAACATACGTTAATTGACAATGTTAACTGTTTTTTTTTCCTTTTCAACGAAAGATACCAAAATAAAACTTAAAGTGCTTGTATATGGATTAAAATGAATGGTT